GGTAAATAAACACGAAATGTACCAAAGTCTTAATGCTTCTCTATACTCTATTTCGCCTATAATCACCTGTAAATGCCGGTCTAATTATGCTTATCTGCAACACACAAGTACACCGCACGCCCGCCCTGTGCTGCGTGCACAAACAACATGAATAAGAGAGGAATGAATGAAATAACATAATAACTCTCTTATTCATGTTGTTTGTGCACGCAGCACAGGGCGGGCGTGCGGTGTACTTGTGTGTTGCAGATGAGCATTAGACCGGCATTTACAGGTGATTATAGGCGAAATAGAGTATAGAGAAGCATTAAGACTTTGGTACATTTCGTGTTTATTTACCTTTTTTTTTTTTTATTGAGCCGTTCCAAGTGCCTGTGCAAGGGGGGTCGACAAATGCACAGTAATATAGAGTGTTACAATGCTGCAACACACATTCCTATAGCGCGCACGCCATTGTGCACAAATACACAGTATAGTGTGTATTGTAACATTGTAACACTCTATATTAGTATTACTGTGTATTTGTACACAATGGCGTGCGCGCTATAGGAATGTGTGTTGCAGCGGTGCAGACGGTATTGAAGTGAAGTTATTAGGTCAAATCAAACACTATAATCGCTCAGAATACTATAATCTCCCAGCAACAAAAACGTTGTGCTTTCCGTATCAGCTAGCCATGTACGTGACCAGAAAAACCATTGGGTCATAACCTGCCAGTGTGTATAATTTTACATAGCATGGTTCATACGTACATAACACGGCAAGTGTGCGGAGCGGAACAATCGCCGCATAGCGGCAACGGTAAACGCGTTTGAAACATTCGACCCAAACGTTTCACTTTGTAGTCTAAAAGCTTTGAATGAACGTATTCCTGAGCAATTTTTTTTCACCTATCACACATATATAGGCAAGTAGAAGCGTGCAATGTTACAATAATTCATTTTTGCCTGATTTTATGTTTGGCGCTTGAAAGTTCGAGGGAATATCCCTTAAAAATTAAACTTTGATTTTCCGAGCAGGAGGAAGATGTAGGCATTGGTGATTCTGAAGCATTTGATCACGGTCGTTCATTGGCTGGATCACCCGAGTTTCAAACGCAGGTTCCACTTTTAATCACCCATTTAATTACATTACGATTGTTACACATATCTAAATAATATGTTTATAAACAAGTGTCATAGCATATGTGGCACCTATATTAAATTTCAGACCTTTGCAACATTCACAGGCAGAGAAGAGAGCCCATCACAATGCCCTCGAGAGAAATAGGCGTGACCACATCAAGGGAAGCTTTCATAGCCTGAGAGATTCAGTACCATGTATACAAGGAGAAAAGGTGTGAAAATTATACAGCCGTGTTTATACGAATCACAGGCACAGCAATACAGTTATTTTAGATTTAATTGCATTTGTTACCTTAACTAGCCGATAAATGGGTAGGTATACCATGTTTTGCTATTTACAAATTACATGGGATGAGCTAGTGCGATCTCCCTGAAAAGTGGTTTTGTAACCTTGGCTGCTTGCCAGAGAATGCGAAATTTGTTCGACCCATTGGGCCGTAGAGTTTTTCGCTGGGCCCATTGTTCGACAATGTAACATTGTTCTTCCCACAACTTGGCACTAGACATTCCTTAACGACTACAACGTTAAAAACCAGTGGATGTCGCAAATATCAGCTCACTGACGGACCCAATGTCTGCAGAGAAAAGTGCAATTATGCACTCCTTGTTCCATACCAATACATGTACAAGGGTCAGTTCCATTATTTGAATGAAAAGTGCATTGGTGTGTGAATGCGTTCATGAGAACATGTTTTCCTAACAGGCATCCCGTGCACAGATCCTGAGCAAAGCCACAGAGTACATAGATAAGATGAAAAGGATAAATAGTATTCATCAAGACGACATTGATGAAATGAAGCAGCAGAATCAGCTTCTTGAAGCCCAAGGTTTGTCATAGAGCTCATGTCATCTTCGTTTAGTGTTGTTACTAATGTATGACAATATTACCACGAAGAGCCTTTTTCAATAATTACAAAAACTAGGTAAGCACCTATACCGTCTGGTTGCTCAGAAAAACCACATGGGTGAGTACCTACCCACATACTATCTCATTTCGTATACATGTAACTTCAATGTGGCATACTTTTTTAAACCGTTATTTTTTCAGTGCACATGTTGGAGCATGCAAAGGTGGGTAAGGTGGTCAGCGAGAGTAGTCCTGTAAATGGAGCTACAGTTATTAATAGAAAGGGCATCACCATGTCTGTGTTTGATGGTGGTTCCGACTCGGACACTCAGGATCTGCAGGAAAGGCCCGCACATAGAAAGAAACTAAAAACAAGTGTCTAGCATAATTTGCGAAATTATGAGTCTGTAAATAGATTGTTATTATTCCTGCTATTGTTGTTACTGCAGCTGTTGTTGTTTTTCTATAACAGTTTTCTTCCGTGCATATTGGCAGCGAATATTGTCATTTATTTTTAATTGCATTGACGATGCTTAAGGTTATCATATCACGTTAGATAGTATGGCTAGCCAGGTGCACCATAAAACTAGGTGATATCTTACCTGAGTTTTTGTATTCAGTGCACTAAAATATACAATACATACATAGCCAAGCCTGTATATTAGGTTCAGGGGAACTGGAAAGTTTTCTGTGTAGACAAGTTTTCATTCTATAGAGGTGGTCTCACTGTATAGCGGCCACTCAAGGGAACTGCCAACAGTGTGTTTATAAGCAGAATTCTGTCTGTAGATGTGTCTGCTAACACAGGTCTAGCTGTATATATATTAGGTAGTATTTACTGTATCACATACGGATTGTGACCCTTTTCGAATAAAAGTTTAATACTTCATGTATATGTAAAGCTGTATAAAGTATGTATCATGTTATTATTACTAGGTATTACTAGTTAGTGTAGGCTCCACTGAATGACATTTATAGTAGATGCTTGCTGATGCAGTTATAGTAGATGAGGTCATGGAGCACCTTAGTTAATTACACATTCTGTGTTAACATAGATATACACAACACGTGTTGTGTATATCTATGGTGTTAACAATATATAAATACTGTCAAGCACAGCTATAAGATGTGATATATCTGTGAGAAACGGTTTTGTGGTGCTATATCTATGTAATTAATACTGATATTGGCTAAAGTATAACACCACAAACATGTAAATCTGATTTATATACATGCTCATGACAATACCTACTTTCAACGTATCTGCCGGTGGCTGGCTCTTGGATTCGATTGACTGTGCACCGAGCCACGTGGACCGTGTGAAGGTCTGCTTACAAAATAAAATCTGCTTGTTTTCTAAACTTAAACAAACTATGCACAAAACTTCTAATCTATTCTACGAATTGTATATTGCAAGTCTGCTACTAGCCATCGCGAGCAAATGCCCCAATTTTATTTATTTCTGATAAGGTCAGATGGTGCTTTTAGAATGGTGTATCAAAACCAAAAGTAATGTGCATTACAAAGTATTAGGAGTACGTCGTTATTATCATGATAGAGATCATAGTCTATTTATGTGCTTCTGAAAGTATATATGTGAGCATATGTGATGAGAGCAGACGTGCAATATTGGATTTGGCATGTGCAATTTCAAACTATGAATCAACGAATAAAAATGCCATTTGAGCATTGACCCAACTTTTCTTAATATTGCACCTTTCGGGAAAATATTTTACGTAGTCATTATGTAACATGGTAACAAACACATTCATTTACTCTCATACCCTACTAATAGGTACATACACAGAAGTGATGATTGCATGAAGAGAGCTATTTCACAGTGCAATCACTAACATGTTCATATGATTAATAAATTAGCATACACATGTGTACTGGTTCACACTATACATGGTAATGTGCATTATTTAATGTGCATGGCTTGCCCGAAACCCTTGTCTTTAAAAAATGAAAAACTTTCTTACTAACTATAAGACCATAGTTACTCACATGGTCTACAAATGTTGAATAACAGCTAGAATTTTATGACACGAAGCACACAACCACAGAATTTATTAAAATTCTTAAATCGCGCATTACATCCTACAGTCAGCCATTACAATGAGTTTATCCTTACTAAGCTTAGATGGAGCCAACATTACCTGCAAGCAAAGATCAATACAACAAGAAAACATGGCTATAGTTCATGTACAGCTACCGTTCATTTACGTTATTCATAATTTTGATGCTCAACGCCTTATGTGACTGGATTGGATGCAACTACGTTTGCCACTAACGCCACCTACAATGCAAATTTTTCAAACAGCTGGCACACGCCGAGAGAGACGCACCAACAATCGCGCGAGGTCTCACGATACGACGATACGGCCGAGGGGTCACTACGACACGTCGGGGTGACTCACGACGTAGCATCAGCGCCCTCTTTCTCACTGCCGCACAGAGGAACCGGTAGGCTTCGGTAGTACTCGATAGCGCTGGCAACCTCGTCGACACAGATGTTGTAGACGGGATGCACTCTTTTCTGGAATAACGGACCGCACAACGGCATCAGCACTGCGCCACGGACACGCTCCAGATGCCACAGCGGAATTACGCGTGTACGTGCGTGTACCCGCGTGTACGTGCGTGTACGTGCGTGT